GTATTGCAGTACCGCTCATTTACATAGAAACAAACCCTTCCTCCCGCAAGTTTGTTTGTAGCATGAGGTACAGTAGACGGTCCATGCGAATAGGATGTTCAAATCCGGTAATGTGCCTGTAAAGATAATTAGGCTACGAAGTGTTGAAAGTTTTGAAAAGTAGCACAATCACTCGGCCATATTCAGCCCAAAGCTCAAATAGTGAGTCTTTCTTACAGGTACTGTATGCAGGCATTAACATGATTGCAACATATTAGTTTTCAACTTGAGAAAAAAAGAAAAATGTGTAATTTATGGGGAAGTTACGTGCCCCAGCTTTAACTTTAAATTACACATGCAACTTTATTGCAGAATGAACTGGATTTTTTGGACCACAGCTTTGCTCTTCTTGATAGTAATTAGCAGGTTTGGCATTCGTTCCATGAGGTTGTACAAAACAATAATTTAAGCGAGAATACAAACTAATTGACCAATTTATTTCATGTAAATTCATTACTATAAATTCTAATCCAGACCACAGTAGCAACAAACTTGCAGTTGTGCTAGTTCTTCAAACACTTTTTTACCCAGTTAGTTATAAGTTTATATACGAAGCTAGCAGCTGTTAGCTAAGTTTTGCTATGAAATAAAGACCCTATGTATTGCTATGAATAAACATTTTACTGGCCTCTTTGTTCAGTGTACTGTGTACCTTACTCCCATCTCTGTGAGAAGTGACCCACAACAATTGTACTGTGAGTCTGGTGTGTGAAAGGTGCTATATGAATCAAGATGACTTACTTACTCACTTACATAATGGTAAAAAATTCAATCTTAGACCCAAATATGAAATATTATTAATACAAGTTCCGTGTTGCATTTGATGAATGAGCTGTCCATGGTAGCATCCACAGACTGCAGAGGCCCACCAGCAGAGGGAGCCATTCTCCTGATATCATACGTGCTTGTGGATATCTATGTCTGTAACCTTCTTAAGATGTCCGAAATAAAATGTATAATGATATTTAGAATCACTGCGACTCGTACACGCTAGATGAGCACGTGCACCTGCCTCTTGTTGCTAGGTGGCGTTGCTAGGGCTGAGACACAAACTCATTTTGACAAACTTCACTCGACGATTTCTTGAGCCAGGAAACATCACTGCAGACCATTTCCACCCAGACTGCTGACCCCCTCCTGACCACAACTACGAGCCTTTTCTGAGGAAAAAACGTGAGCTTTTCCACTTTCCCTGTTCACCTCAGTCCCTATGGGTTTGGCCTGTGTTCCTCACACACAGACAGTAGCAAAATAGCAACACAGATCACTTTGATCCGTGTGTAAAGCAGGTTTAAGAGAGATTAGACTGAGTATAAAGTAAAGTATAAAGGGCGACAGTAGCTCAGTTGGTAGAGCACTGGCCTTTAGGCCTGAAGGTCGTGGGTTCAAGCCCACCATAAGACCTACTTCACGACTCCCACTGATGACTGCTGTCGTTGTGTCCTTGGGCAAGACACTTAACCCCACTTTGCCTGAAGCCCCCACTGAAAGAACTCAGCTCCTGTGGACTCACCACCTGCAGGAGGATCAGTGAGGGGCTGGTGCTCTGTGTACTGGGTGCAGCTCTGACTGCCACCCCCCTGACCCAGAAGTGGATTAAGGGGAAGAAGATGGATGGATAGATAGATAGACTGAGTATAATGATTATATTAAGTGTAAGAAATCAAAGTCCTCAAGCGACATGAAACCTACAAACCCACATCACAGACAGGTTTCTGCTTCATAAAAACGTCTTCATCAGCCGCAGCAGTGATGTATCTACTGCTGTCTCTGATAACATTACAGCCAGTTCAGTTCAACAGTCATTCTGTTCATGGAGATTATGATCCCTGTGATTTGGAATGAATAAGTCTGTTATTTAGAAGATGTACTCAGCCTGGCAGACCTGCCATACTCAGTCCAAATGGTTCTTGCACACATCCACAAGCGGGACTTTCAAACCACAAAACAATAAAGTCTGCAAATACATTCTTCTAGCTCGTCCCTCGCTCTTAAACAGTTTGGTTCTATGTTTTCACGTGCCTGTGTTTTTAACATCACCAACGTGAGTGAGAGAGGACCATCCTCTTTCAGCCAATCAGCCCAAAGCATCAAATAACGACTCAGAGAGCTCTTTCTATACTTATTAATAATTTACTTTTACAAGACTTTACCTGTTGGAAACAAACTCTATGTAACATTTATAACACAAAAAACAAATCTATTTAATACTTGAAGACTTCTCAATCTTCAAAAGACCTGGGGCCGTATTCCTAAAGATTCTAAGAGTCCTCTCAGAGAGCTCCTATCTTAACCTAAAAACTCCTAGCTAGGAGTCTTAGCTTAAAAGTTATTCCAGAACACTCTTAGAGAACTCTGAGCAAGGAATGGACTACAACTTTTATCTTAGTGAGGAGGCGTGGCCGACCCCGTTGCTAGGTATGAGTCATCATTTCAGACGCTGTGATTGGTTTATCCTAAAAGTTAGAGAAACCATATTTTTGATAATGGGCAAAATAAGGATCCTCTAATGGACAAACTCAATCATAGAATCTAATCTTAGGAATACTGTGTCATTGTAAATAATCAGAAAAGGTAGAAAGTCAGATATATCAATGTATTTACTAATATTGTCAAACTTACTGTTGTAAGTTTGACTTTTACACCACATCATTAGAGCTTGCTCAGCACCAATTTATCACACATATTTAACAAACGTATATAACATGAGCACTTATATATATATATATATATATACACATATATATATATATATATATATATATATATATATATATATATATATATATATATATATATAGATGATTATGATAACATTAGTATTAGTAAAGGCTGTGATACTGAAAGACGTAAAAGGAATTAAGGAAAAAATATTAATATAAGCATTTTATACATACACAAATCAAGTGCATGTTATTGTGAATGTCACTGTTGCATAACTGTAAATACACCATGGAATAAACTAAGCTGTAGCAACCACATAATTTAAGTTAATTTAGAATGATAAATAGAGGGTGGGAGTTTAAAAGTATTAACTTCTTCACACTCCTTTTTGAACTGGATTGCTGTTAATAAAACAAAACTGTATATTTGTACATGATGACTTTTACATGATTGACTTTTAAACATGATTCCTCCAGGATCCAATCTGCAGCGTTTTACTGATTCACTGTGATCCAGTGTATAGAATATTTCTCCTGCCTCTACCGTCCACCATTTTGTCCTCTTAGGGAACTTTTAAGTTGCTAAAAGTCCACCTCTCAACTCTTAAGGGATCTCACCTTAGGAGCACTCTTAAGAGCTAGGATTCTTTAGGAATAGCTTTTTTCTTAACTAGCAGCTACTCCTCACTTTTAGGGGAAATTCAAAGAGTTGGTCAAGATTCTAAGAAAATTCTTAGAATTTGGCCACTAGGAGCAACTTTTAGCACTAAGAATCTTTAGGAATACGGCCCCTGATTCGTCTGTATCCACAATCTTTACTCAGATCGGCTCATATGAACCATGACACAACACTGTCCTCGTCAAAAACCCTCCTGGAGTTGTTTTTAGATCCATCCACGCTAAATAAAGGGGAATGAAAATGAATGGATGAATAAATGGTGATGACAGTGAGGTAGAGCAATTATTGGTGAAGTCGTCACTTTTGGATCTGCTTTACACAGATTGAGATTCAGATTCAGATTCAGTTTATTTGCCATTTGCAGTAAAAAAAACCACATTGGAATACATTAGCAAAAGTCTCCAGTGTGCACAGACAAATACAGACATAAAACAACATTAAAAGACAAAAATAAAACAAATAAAACAGTAAACAAATGTCACTGTGAAATCGATCGACTAAAACAGTTCAAAACAAGTGCAAATCATTAAAGTGCTCTGTTCACACTGATAACAGCTTGTGGATAAAAACTGTTAGCGTAACGAGATGTCCTGCATCTCAGAGAGCGATATCTTCTGCCAGAGGGAAGAAGCTGGAACATGGCTTTCCCAGGGTGGCCAGAAGAGTCATTAACAATCCTAAGAGCTTTGTTTAAAAGTCTGGATTTATAAAGAACCTCCAGAACAGGAAGCTCACAGCCCACGGTCCTCTTTGCAGAGCGGAGCACCTTGTTTACAGCTCTCTTTTCTTTATCTGTGATGTTTCCAAACCACACAGACACAGAACCAACAAGTAAACTCTCAATGGTCCAGCGATAAAGGTTAAGCAGAATCTTAGAGTCAGTGGTAAATTCTCTAAGTTTACGCAGAAAGTAGAGACGCTGACGAGCTTTCTTAACGACTCAGAAATTCAGAAAACCCAGAAACTTGCACTCCTCTACGATCTGCATCTGGGAGTTGTCGATTACGACAGGCAAATGAGAACTATTGCGACTGAAGTCGTAGACTAGTTCACAAGTCGTAGACTAGTTCACAAGTCGTAGACTAGTCCACTGAACCACATTTTGTATCTCTGCTCTATAAGAGGATTCATCATTGTCACTGATGAGACTGATGATGGTGGTGTCATCAGCATATTTAATGATCAAGTTTGAGTCAGAGGAGGACACACAATCGTGAGTGTGCAGAGTAAAAAGCAAAGGACTCAAAATACATCCCTGAGGAGAACCAGTGCTCACAGAAACAACATCAGAAAAACAGTCATTGATTTTCACTCTCTGAGATCTGTCAGTTAAAAAGCTAAAAATCCATTTACAAATGGCGACACTTAAACCGAGAGACATGAGCTTTTCAATCAGTTTACCTGGGACAAGGCAGTTAAAAGCAGAGCTTTTAACTACGATGAAAAGCATTCTCGCGACAGATTTACTAGTGTCCAAGTGACTGTAGACAGAGTTCAGAGCAAAGGAGATGGCATCTCCCAAAACACCATTAATGCCACAAATAATGCATCATATTTCCTCTTTATCTCATGAAACAGAAAAGCCTGAAATGAAACAGCTGTTTTCAGTGATGTTTGACATGTTCTGTTCCTGCTCCACAGATCCTTGTGCACCTCCTCCATCAGGACTCCCCCTGACCTCCTGCACAAGACTCCCCCTGACCTCCTGCACAGGACTCCCCCTGACCTCCTGCACAGGACTCCCCCTGACCTCCTGCACAAGACTCCTCCTGACCTCCTGCACAGGACTCCTCCTGACCTCCTGCACAGGACTCCTCCTGACCTCCTGCACAGGACTCCTCCTGACCTCCTGCACAGGACTCCTCCTGACCTCCTGCACAGGACTCCTCCTGACCTCCTGCACAGGACTCCCCCTGACCTCCTGCACAGGACTCCCCCTGACCTCCTGCACAGGACTCCCCCTGACCTCCTGCACAGGACTCCTCCTGACCTCCTGCACAGGACTCCTCCTGACCTCCTGCACAGGACTCCTCCTGACCTCTTCTCTCCTCCCTCGCCCTTCTGTTCCTCCTCCTCCTGCTCCTCCTGCTTGCCGCCCCTCTGCTCCTCCTGCTAAGCGCTCTAAGCTTTCCTCTGCCACTTCTCGTAAGCAACGTAAGCTTACTTCTGTTCCTCTCGCTTGGCGATCCTCTGCTCCTCCTGCTTGGCGCTCCTCTGCTCCTCCCACTTGGCGCTTGGCTGCTTCTCAGGCCAAGTCTTCTTCTGCTCCTCCTGCCTCCCGCCCCTCTGCTCCTCCTGCTCTGCGCCCCTCTGCTCCTGCTGCTCCTCTTGCTTTGCGCCCCTCTAATCCTCCTGCTCCTCTTGCTCTGCGCCCCTCTGCTCCTCCTGGTCTGCGCCCCTCTGCTCCTGCTGCTCCTCTTGCTTTGCGCTCCTCTGCTCCTCCTGCTCCTCCTGCTCTGCGCCCCTCTGCTCCTCCTGCTCCACGCCCCTCTGCTCCTCCTGCCTCCCGCTCCTCTGCTCCTCCTGCTCCGCACCCCTCTGCTCCTCCTGCCTCCCGCTCCTCTGCTCCTCCTCGCCCTTCTGCTCCTCCTGCCTCCCGCTCCTCTGCTCCTCCTCGCCCCTCTGCTCCTCCTGCCTCCCGCACCTCTGCTCCTCCTGCTGACGCTGCTCGGCTCTTACGCATTAACCCAGCCCCTGTTGTCTCGCAGCCTGCCCCGCTGTTCCCTGGACCTGTCCCGGACTGGGTGGTGCAGATGGAGGCGTACCTGCAGGAGCGGGAGCTGCCCTGGAAGGAGCAGAGAAGGTCATGTGAGCCGCAGAGGCCTATTCCACCGATAACACACAAGTACTCCTTCTATTTTTAAGAACTGATCCTTTCTGTGTCTTGTTTCTTTGGAGGAGCAGGAGCAGAGCTGGGATCCCCAGGAGCTGTGTCTCGGTGAAGGGTCAAGTATCATTTTGTAAATATTCTCTACAGTTTTTGGATCCTTGTTTGATCCCCTTTAAAAAAAAACTAAAAAACGCAAAAAAATATTTATAAAAGTTCAGTTTGTTCCTGTTGTTGTGTTGTACATTTTTTGGATCCTTGTTTGATCCCCTTTGAAAAAACAAAAATACCACACAAAAAAAAAAACACATTTATTTAATGTCATTATTGTTGTGTTGTAAATCCGTTGGATCCTTGTTTGATCCGTTTGTAAAAAAAAAATGTAAGATTGTGTGTGGATTGTTTTGTGGTGCAAAGCTTCTTTTGCAGGTGTCTTTTCTGTTCAGGGAAACAAGGTGAATGAATTAAAGTCACATTACTTTAAGAAATCACTCATTTATTTATTGTTTCTGACATTTTTTAGACAGAAAAAAGTGAAAGGAAGTGTAAAACATGGAAAGTCCCTCAGACAAAGAATATACAGCTCAGGTATATCATCTATTCTCTCTCTACTTGAAGTCCAGTGAATGAATAGAATGTGTTTTCTTCCAGTGAGGCCAGAGAGTGAGAGCAGAGAGTGGAGGAGGAGGAGGAGGAGGAGGAGGAGGAGGAGGAGGCTAATATCCTTGTTTTCATTTCAAACACAGGTAAATGATCATATCGTTGTTTGTTTGTCTCTGCTCCAACTTCATTACAAGAAGAACCATCTTTGTGTTGAATACAAACCACTTTTATGCCCACAACGTGTTATGTCTGAACGAGGGGAAAGCAAAGGTGAAAGTGTTTGTCAACACTGAGCTCTCACCCACACGGCCACTTCAGCAGCACGTTCAACCGCTGGTCACCAGCCTCGCTGTCACTTTGGACTGGGATTTTATATTTGACACAGGTGAACACGCTTGACAACTCTTTTATCAGCTTTTATCCAAGTGAAACCTTGAAATAGTTTTGAACATGTGATTCACACTTTCATCTTCTCTGGCTGGGACTATTGTTGGAATGGACTGGCCGTCCCTTATGTGCTGAATGAATTAAGGGCAATTAGATTTGACCAGCACATGCACCCTCATGGAAGGGTACTTAACCTGGTTCTAAAATGTGTTTGATAAACTGATTGTCCTATTAATCCTTTTTTGCTTCATCTACAGAAGGTCCAGGTATGCAGCCGAACCTTTTGTCATTGTTTTGTTGAATGGCCGATGGTGGACCATGTAAAGGACAAAACCTTTCAAGTGGACGGGTTCTCCTGCCCTGCATGTGTGCCAGACATGGCTGTCCATGGAAACAGACAACTATTGTTTTAATAATCCTTCAAGGTAAAGAGACCTTGTAACTATAATGTGTTTATCATAAATATTCACAGCATGTATATGCAGGACCACAGAATCTGCTTACTTTGAGGGAGTTTTTGTTTGCGGTGACCAGCAAGTGGCAGCACCTGTACATGGTTTCTACGCTTAAACAAATTATACGTCAACTATTTCAAAAAAAAGTCCATGATGAGAATATTGAGGTAATGTACTGTATCTCCTTCCTCTTCTCGTACTCAGGTCCAAATACATGTGAAAGTCAGGTACTCTGTAGAGACAAACAATCTCTAGTGTTGTGCAGAAATGATGTCTAACCTGCATTATCTCTCGGTAGCTTGAATCAACATGAACTTAACAATCTAAAGCCTCAAATGTGGAAAGATCAATCAGATGTGCAAAATCAGCAGTCTCCTGTGGAGAGGGGGACCAGCACTAAGTCCATGATGTGCACATCAGGATTTCTCCTGGACCATACACACTACATCACTGGTTAAGAAAAGTAATCAGTGTCAGAGCTTTCGTCGCAAGTTGCGAAGCTCCAGAGTCCCAGTCTCTGTTATGTGCAACTTCTACAGAGATACTAGGGACTAGAGACTGCAGCTTCATCACTGTATAGCACGGTGCCAGCCCTGCCACCTGCTGCAAGAGCCTTCAGTGCATTGTGAGAGAAACTGAGAAGATGGAGCCCCTCTCCCCTGCACTCAGGACATTCCACCTGTGTCACTGCTAAAGCCCTCAGAATTACCTGGGACCCTACGCACCCATAACAGCCCCTCAAAGTAATGCCACGAGGGAGGAGGAACCCCGGGGGACAGGTCCAGTCGACTGAAGAACTGTTTTATCCACCAGGCGATCAGGGCGCTGAACTCCCTCCCTTTGCTGCCTTCCCTGGGCTCCCACCCCTCACCCCCACCCCCACTCTAAAATAAAGGATGAGAAACTTGACAATAAATCTTTGACTCTCTTAATACTTGTATATTAGTCTTGGTCGTGAAAAGGGGCGTTTTAGGTAAAAAAAATTGATTAAAAAACATCGATATTTGAAACAAAAACAAAACATTGAGAATACATTATTCCACCCTGATCATAAAACACACTTTTTCAACTACTTTTCATATAATTAAAAAAGAGGGAGGAAGCCTTGATTATTTCAAACGGGGCCCATTATCATTAAAACATGGGTTTAAAATACATGTTAAGTCAATAAAACTGTCAATTGCCCTGTATATGAAAGGGCCTGTGCATGAACCTGCCCTCAGTATTTTGGATATGTTAAATACTTGTTTGGGAAGCTGTTTAAATCATATTAACTTGATAATAGAGAGACATATTTCAAACACACAAGGAGAGGTCACAGGCCGTATTAAAGAAACTGTTGTAAGCTTATAACTGTACTGTGTTATTTTAATGGTACAACCGGCTTCTTTCATCTTTATCTGTATTTCAACCTTTATATTGGAAACACATCCCAGTTGCTTTCTTCTCAGTTCTCATTATGTAAACAAGTTATTGCTTTACAGTTGGTACAGTATTTTCTATTTAGATTAAGAAAAATTGGAAAAGGGTCAATGATGGTGAGGGGTGTACAATAAATCCTTGTTTTTAAGTTTAACGATAGTATTTCTCTTCTGATCAGTGGAACTATCAACACGAACTGTTGCTCAACAATAAGACAAGTTTTTAAAAAGTAGACAAGGCAAACAAGAGGCTTCCTAATTAATTGTTTATCAATACTTCTGCACATGTTTTCATAGACATTATACAAGTCACGTCTGGATACATATTGAATTGAGCACAATTAACACTAACGAAAGCAGGATTGGTTAACATCCTACTCAAGCCGCATCCAAGGCAATCAAACATTGCTTATAATGGCCACTTACAATTTTGCCATTTTTCATTTAAAAAAATCTATTTTCAAGTCAGTCAATTACGGTACAGTCTCTGCCGTGTTCAAACATGTAGCAGCAGAGGGCAGTAACATCCTGCACACAGCTACACACAAGCCACAGCAAATCAGAAGAAGAGAAGCAGCACAAAGCAGAGAATCTTTTTTTAGAGAGAGGTTACTACTGGTGCAATGAAATAAACTAAACATGCATCTCCACAAAATCTTCTGATCAATACGTTCAGTAAGGAGAGTGGTTGTATATGTTTTACTGTATTGTTGTTGCTTGCTTGTAAATTAATGTCTTACCGTTAATGTAAGCACAACTAAACTGACCTTACATTAAGCACACACAACTAAGTCAGCTGTTTACAGGACTAAAAAAATAATTCAAAACATTGATTTAAATAAACTGAATATTTATCTATCAAACAATCAACTGTAATCTGTTTGATATCAATTTAAAGTTCCTATATCACGCTTTTCTTCATGTTTCACAGTCAATCCTAAGCACATGTGTGATAATAATGTGTGTGATACACCACACAACACTCAAAACTTGTGAGATTAAAGCCATCTCTTGTATAGAGGTGACGTCACCACAACTCAAGCTGATCCAGAAGAGAGCCTGCTCCTCTGCCTGTGAGCCCGCCTCCCCCCGCCCGCACGGTGACGTAGCATCACGTTTTTGTCGTTTTTCACCGGTACATATGTCATAAGAATAAACTTTTTCCAACAATGGCAATGACAATGTCACATCTAGCCCTATGTCCTCGATGCACAATCAGACCATAATTATTTAGTTCACATAAGTATACGGCGAGTTAGCATCACTGTACTTACAGATCGAGGGGTCCGAGTTACGTCTTTTACCGTGGGAATAACGTGTTTCCAGATCAGCTTTTGAGTAAGTCCAGTTCCATTGTCCCTGTAGTTCTGGAACAGTCTCAGTGAAGTGTCACAGATGAACCGGTATTATAATAGATCCATGAGATGAACAGATGAAAAAAGTTGAGCCGCTTTCTTCCTCTTCGGGCCAAATAGTGCGTCTCACATTTACACCCATAACACATTTCATTCAAGTTGACGTGATCCTAACACTTTTAGTTGCTGACAAAAGCAGAAAAACAGCAGCTCTATGTGGTGTCCGCGGGACCAGACCACACCCGTTGGACTCGGGAGCCGGACTCCGGAGCTGGCTGCGCGCTCTGATTCGCTGTTTTGATCTGTCAATCACCTCCCACTGGCTTTTAATTTAATTATTGTTTTGTTATTTTTGACAACAAACAGCATACTAATTGTGTATTTTTTACCCCATTTTGACAAAAGTATTTAAAAACTATTTTAAATACAAAGCAAACGGGGTTATGCGCGTCATATGCTTCATCAGAGTGGTTTTTGTCACTGAAGTGGACCCAAGCGTTTCACTGCCTCTCGCTGGGGAAGGAGACAGATCGCTCTCTTACTAAAGATTGACAGAATCAATGAATAAACTACTCTGGGCATGTGTATGAAGGCCAAATAGCACTGTAATCATGTTTAAAACAGAGAAAAGTCAAAAACCGTGATATTGGCCCTTTAAATTGATCATCCAGACCTCCCAAACCTCCCCCTGCCAGGGTTCAGGGTGGAGTCTGGAGGTTACACCCAGGGGCTGACCCTGAGTGACAGCTCTCCTATGTGTGGGCGGGGTTCTCCCTCAAATTGCACTTCTCCTTTAACACAGTATAACTCATATATTCTCAGGTAGAGGCGCTGCTGATGGGGCAGCAGGTCCTCTGCACTGGTGAGCGGCTTCTATGACACGCTTTCTGGGAGGTGTCATATTAAAGGATTTTACTGATTAATTATATGGATTCAAAACTTCTAAATGACGCTCTCTGCCTCCACCACATTTCACAAACTGGCTCCAGCTCGTGTGGACATTTAAATTGTTGCCACTTCTAAACACCTTCAACACTTCTAAACACCTTCAACACTTCTAAACACCATAGTCACCATTTAGACCACAGTGCTCGCAAAGAATATGTCAAACATTGTGACAATATTTGTCCCATGTCATGTGAAACAAATTCCTTGAAGTCCGCCTTATAACATAACGCTACATCATACAATTGTTTTCCGCTACAATGTTAAACTATACGCTTTTTGGAATGCTGTTATATCAATATCCAATCCAGATATGTTTCACATCTTGCAATGCTAGATATTTTAAATAGAAACGCTTTTATATTTATTTTACTTTAGTTCTCATTGGCTCAGAGCTAGTCACGTGTCCAGGCTAACGCTAGCTAGCGCCGCTTCACTCGGTATCTCTGCGTGTAAACAGTCTCTGGTGAAGCAGCAGCAGCGAAAGGGGAGTCCACACTCTTCTTTTCTGTGTGAGCTCTCTAGTCAGTAGTCTAGCCTGGCTCTACTATTGCTGCTGCTGCTGCTGCTGCTGGAAAACCCCAAGGACTTTTCAAATCTGCCTAAACCGACGGAAAACATTGGACATTGGAAGTACTGGTCGCTCGGCGAGAAAGGCGAGAATAAAAGCTTTTATCACACTAGCTAACAATCCCACGCGCTCAGATGAGGTCTGGCTGGTAAGGTAAGCCATCCGTGTATCGATCTCATTCACTTCATTCGTTTGCATTGATCTGGGGATGGTTCGTTAAAGCCACGCGTGTAAAAATGTAGGTCATTGTGTCTGTGGGCCGATCCGAACCCTGCCGAGTCAAACCGAGTGCTGCATTCAGGGCCGCAGAGACTGGGGAGAGACTGGCCGTGGCATCAGACCCTCATGGATCAGTTCTGGGATCAGATTTAGGCTTTTGTAAATGTATGTTAGTTCTGGTAGAGGGCTCAATCAGTTGTTGATCCTTTTTTTTGCTATTAGTTTTATCCTGATGTGGAGCTGGTCTAGTTTGAAGTGTCCTGGTTGAATTGCAATATTTACTGTAGATCTAAAGTTTTAATTTAATTTGTTTGTGTGTATTGGGTGAGATGAGGGCACACTTTTTTGCTGTACAAGTTTATTTGTACAGCACAGTTCATTCATACACAAGTCACAACAAGTGCTTGACAAGATAGAAACTATCACACAAGGCATTAAGATAATAAATAATCACAGTACATTAAAAATAATAAAGATACAATACCTAAGAAGCCACAGAACTTTTTATAACCTGTATTCTAACATGGTCAGAGAAGAAGCCTGTCTCACATTTTCAGGAAGACTGAAAAGACTGATATAGCAGCATGAATCTAAAATGCTGCCTCCCCATGTTTAGTTCTGACTCTGAGTCCCTGTGCTTCCGAGTCAAAGTTGGTTCATTTTGCACTAACATGTCTTGGATGTACTCCGAAGCGTGTGATTCGTAAAGCTACAGTATAGGTACCAAAAATGCACTACTAACAGCATTAAATTATACACCTTTATTCTTCCTGTGACTGGGCCTGAGTATTTGCAAATTTGACTTGCTCTTGTCCTTCAACTTAAATGTGTTTCAGATATTAATAAGTATGGCATAATGTCCCAAATAGTAGTTTTACTTTGTATGTCCATGGAATGATGCTGGCGTTGCTTTTGGGAAGTAGAAGTTAGTCCTGCTCCGTAACCCTTTATCCATCAATCCATCCATCCATGTTAGTGTTAGTAAATGTTTATATTTGTGCTGTTTTATTACAACCAAAATCACCCGGTAAACATATTTTTGGACTTATTGTTATAATGAAAAGTTTTATTACAATGCAATTCCATCATTCACTCAGTCAGTACAATGGTTGCAGCATATTAAAAATTCTTGAGCTCGCACTCTGACTCGAACAAGAAAAACATCTCATATTACACTTTTATTAAAAGATCTTAAATGGCTCCAAATTCAGGCCCTGATTGACTTTCAAATCCTCATGCTTGTTTATAAAGCTGTTCAGTCTCTTTTTTTAAATATATTTCTCATTTACTTATGATCCTTTGCAAGCAGCGCATCCTCAAATCTCATCCTTATCGCCCAGATAAAACTAAAAATAGGACAAGCCACTTTTTCCCATTATGCTCCTTGTAAATGGAATGCTCTGCCCATTGACATGTGAAGACTCGATCGCATTCAAGAGTAAACTAAGGACTCACTCTCTCTATTTGTTAAATGTCATCTTGTGATTTTCTTTTGTTGAGTTGCACGTATGAAATGTGCTACTTAGATAAATTTACATCCCTCGGTTTTAGTCCAGTTTAGTGTGAACGCAGCACTAATAACGTCAAATACCACCTAAGAAAACGTTTGTCTTTCCAATAACTTCCACCAGACAAAACGGCACTAAAACAGGACCAGGAATGTGTCCATAAGACTCGGCTTGAACCTACCTTAACTGAGGACCAGTAAAGATGGCAAAACCTAGGAACAATTGTTTCTAAATGAAATGTAAATTTAGCTATTATTATGTTGAAAATGGTTTTTGCAGTTTTGCTATTGTTGTTCTAGGTCACGATTGGGCACAATATGACTGACCCTGTTTCCATTGGAGCGTGCCGTCGGCCTGAGTTTTCACAAAAAGATCCCGTTTCAGTGAATTCAGGCACACCTAAATGTCTTTTATGCAAAATGAAATCAAAGTACTACCAGAATCTCATGTTTCATATTAAGGAGAAGGCCCAATACACACACATAGACCAACAATATTAAACATAAACCAATCTGCTTCTTTAGATAGTGCGGTATAATTTCCAATACAAAGAAACACTTTTAAATCTTTTAGAAGGTGCCACGTCACTCCCATGAATCTATGGAAAGTAAAATATATACTCTACAGAAGTTAAAGGCCACACTACGGAAGAGCAACCAAAGAGCGTTCTCCTGGATACGTACGATGAGAGCTAGCTTAATGTAAACATGCGCGTTTAATACTAAGGTCAGTACAAAAACAAACAACATACAGTACTTAAAGGGTCATTCCCCACTGAGCAGAGACGCAGGAAAAACACAGGTTTACACACAGCGACAGAGGCAGGCGAGTTGAAACCAAAGTAAAGTTTATTTAAATTGCATATTTATAACCACAAGGGTTTAAAGTGCTGTACACCTCACAAGGGATAAAACATTAAGACATATAAAACGGTATCACAGAGTTGAAATTCTCACCCGCCTTGTGACCGAGTCTTTTTGTTTAGGCACGTTCAGTACGGACACTGACACCAAATATAGCTGATCTATATATGTATAGTGTGCGTGATTAGCGGGCAAAAAACCAAACCGTTGTATTGGCCGTTGCTTGCATATGGGTCAGATGAAGAAAGTTATAAAAACTACACATAAGTCACACAGTGTAATAAGCTGTGTGACAACAGTGAAGCTCTTACCACGTGCTACTCTCTCCTTTTGTCCTTGTTAAATATATTTAAAAAGTTTATATTACTCCACGTGGATGATGAGCTTTCGTACATTATATTGTGATTCGCTGCGGTGCTTGATGCGCTGTGCTCTGACTTGGGAAAATATTGCTGACTTTGATATCAGTCTTGAGTCAACATGGCAAGGCAAGGCAAGGCAAGTTTATTTGTATAGCACAGTTCATACACAAGGCAACTCAAAGTGCTGAACAGAACAAGAAAGCGTTAAAATCATAAATAATCACAGTACATTAAAAAAAAAAGATAAAAATATAAAATCCCTCAGTTGTATGCACAGCTAAACAGAACCGTCTTTAACCTGGTTTTAAACATTGTCAGAGAGGAGGCCTGTCTCACATCTTCAGGAAGACTGTTCCAGATTTTAGCAGCATGAATCTGAAAAGCAGCCTCCCCATGTTTAGTTCTGACTCTGGGCACTAACAGGAGTCCAGTCCCTGTGCTCCTCAGAGTCCGGGCTGGTTCATATGGGACTAACATGTCACTAATATAGTTTGGTGCGAGGCCATGGAGAGATTTGTACACAAGCAGAGCTGTTTTAAAGTCTATTCTCTGAGCCACAGGAAGCCAGTGCAGGGACCTGAGGACCGGACTAATGTGGTCGTACTTCCTGGTTCTAGTCAGGACTCGAGCTGCTGCATTTTGAATGTACTGCAGCTGTTTTACAGCCTGTTTGGACAGACCTGTGAGCAGGCCATTGCAGTAGTCTAACCTACTGGAGACAAATGCATGGATAAGAATCTCCAAGTCTGCTTTAGACACTATGTTTTTGATCCTGGCAATGTTTTTTAGATGGTAAAAAGCTGCTGATGTTACTGATTTGATGTGGCTATTAAAATTTAAGTCTGAGTCCAGTATTACCCCCTAGATTTCTGACCTTGTTTGAAGGTTTTAGGGAGAGAGACTGTAGGTGACAGATGACGCTCTCTCTTTGTTTCTGGGGACCAAAGACAATCATTTCAGTTTTGTCTGCGTTTAGCTGAAGGAAGTTGTTTTGCATCCACTCACTGATCTGTTGGATACAGTGAAGGAGTGAGTCCACTGGTCCATGTTCTCCTGCAGTCAGTGAGACATAGATCTGAGTGTCGTCTGCATAGTTATGATAGGACACTTTTTTCTGCGTATTAACTGACCTAACGGCAACATGTAGAGATTGAACAGAAGAGGTCCCAGGATTGACCCCTGTGGTACTCCACAGGTCAGGGCCATATGATCTGAGACACAGTCTCCAATCTCCACAAAGTACTTCCTGTCTTCAAGGTAAGACCTAAACCAACTTAGGGCGGTGCCAGCGACTCCAACCCAGTCCTCTAGTCTCTGTAAGAGGATCTCATGGTCGACGGTGTCAAAGGCAGCACTTAGATCTAACAAGATTAAGATTGAGACCTTGCCTGCGTCAGTGTTCAGCCGGATATCGTTTGTAACCTTGACAAGAGCAGTCTCAGTGCTGTGGTGGGGTCTAAAGCCGGACTGAAACATATCAAATGAGTTGTTAATTATAAGAAATCTAGTAAGCTGTAGGTAGACAACTTTTTCAAGGACTTTCCCCATAAATGGCAGATTTGAGATGGGACGATAGTTGTTAAGTACCGTAGCATCCAGGCTGCTCTTTTTTAGCAGGGGCTAAAAATTATTATTCTGTATTCGTGCCGACCGTTAGTAACTTCAAACAAATCTAGTTTCAGTAGTTTTCTTTCAATTTCTTGTCAATGTATGTTATATAGATGTTTTTACAGTGTACATGGTCGACACTTTCCCTGTTTCTGCTACTGCGACCAAACTACAGTTGATAATAATACTACAAATAATAATAGTACCAAAACAAACTGTCAAGTGAGTTATGATAATTACTGTTGGAGGAGGGCATATACTAATAAAGTTAACAACAAGGCTTGACTTTGGGGCTAATGTTTTCACAAATGCTAAGCAGGACACCTCCAGATTAATATCTTGGGAGGAGACTTTTCGGTGTGGGTGTTTTTGATTAGGGTGGAGCGTTTTCCTTGGCACACCCTGGTCTGGGTTATGTCATGGTCCCAGTTGCTGTTTGTGTTCCATCTCTGCTCATTCACACGTGTTTCTGATATTTTATTGATACAGACGCAAAGAAAAAACATCCAAACGGCTTGATATTAAAGCCTTTTGCATTTTAGTGGTATGAGGGATACACTCCAAATCTTGTATTTTGGGAATTGATATTTAAGTAAGTAAGTAAGTAAGTAATCTTTATTTATATACCGCCTTTCACAGACCAGAGTCACAAAGCGGTTTACAATTGTTATTATTTTTGGGCATTTGTCTCTCACTCCACACAGAGATGGGAGTGGGGTCGCCAGTACAGGAGGCACATGCCAGACCTATTGTGCATGTTTTTAGTGGTAGGGGAAACCGGAGTACCCGGAGGAAACCTACGCAGACATGGGGAGAACATATGCAAACTCCACTCAGAAAGGCCCTGGTCCGGCCGGGATTTGAACCCAGGACCTTCTTGCTGAGAGGCGAGAGTGATATCCACCGTGCCGCCCAATTTTGGAAGGGACAAAACAAAATTATATTGGTATACTCTGCAGTTGTAAACCAACCAGATTTTTTTTAACCCTTTGTTTAACCAGGAAAATTCTATTGAGTTTCCAGGATCTATTTTTCTCAAGGTTGTCTTGGTCAAAAGGCAACACAACCCTTACAAAACAGTTTTTCTCACCAAATGAAACATGTAACATTTTGGAGCCATTTTAAATTGAATCTGAGACTTCATTCCTGACCGTTCTAACTGTAATTGTAATTTATGTCGGTTAATTCTCATGACTTCAGCAAACACCAATCTGCATATTGTTCCCTTTCGTGTCCCTAACAGCCACTGCTGTCATTCTAGATGTCTAACGTCATGATGGAAGCCACCACCATCCTCCCGATCCTCCGGAAGAAGCTGGCCTTCCTCTCAGGTGCTGTCCACGTCCAGACGACTTTGTAAAGACCTGAAACTGTAACGTATGGTTCATAACTGGGTGTGTCATGTGTGTAGGAGGGAAGGACCGGCGCAGTGGCCTCATCCTCACCATCCCTCTGTGCTCAGACCAGACCAGCATGGAGGAGCTCAGTGCCACACTCGAGTACCTGCTCAGCATCCCCAGGTAAATTTGGGTTTTAGGACTGTCTGTTTTATTCATTCTGTAAAAAGTCTTGCACTGTAGGGAAAAGCTGAACAAGGGACACGAGTTGAAAATAATAACAGTTTCTGTATAGCTGATTGTATTTTAGTGATGGCCACTCAGCTATGCAGAAATTCTAAAACTCTAGAGCAGATACATACAGCAATAACACAGCTGCAACAAATATTGTTACTTTTGTTGAAATGTTTTTTAATGAACTGCAGTTAATTAATCACAGCAATGATGCATGATTGTTATCTTTATTATTTATTTGTATAACAATTAAACAGCTCTGTATACATATTGAGCATATTCTGGGTTAGCATCAGCATCTTGTGTAGTCCATCCAGATGTGCTGCTCATCATTATCTGTCCAAGAAAATACCTTTGCTCATCTGTTTCACATTCTACTTATTAAAACAGTTAATGATTGGTTACTATTTATAATATTTGTGAAATGTTTTGATTTTTGGGATTTTTTGTATATAAACATCTGAAACTGGCTGAAATCAGAGCAAAGTTGTTCACATGTTTAATGAATTGTACATTAGATTAATTTTTATTTTTGTATGTGTGTATTTATTTACTTAAATGTTGAAAATTATCCTGGTCTTGCTTTAACACTAAAGACAGTGATGTGGTCTGTCCAATAAAACTGTTCCTTGAGGCGTGTATTGAGAACCTGTTTGTGTTTTCAGTGACAAGTGTAAGGCTCGAGGCTTCACTGTGATCGTGGACGGCCGCAGGTCTCAGTGGAACATCGTCAAGACAGTGGTGCTCATGCTTCAGGTAACCCTCACATTTGTTTATTTATTTGCATCCCCTTTAGCTTCTACAAGTGGCCGCTAGTCAAAGGATCAATTCACAATCAAATATTTCACACATATAGCATTAATTGCATTTACTATACAAAATAACACAACACTGAATAATCATTTCACATCATCATTAAACATTCATTCAAGCATTGTTGTCATTTTTTCTTGAAAATAGATCTATTATTATTTGCCTTGATGCCACAGACTGCTGATTCCAAGCAGCTGAGGATCGAAACTCAACTGTTCTTCTCATACAGCTCGATTTTTGGAAAAGTGACAACAAAATCACGAGAGCCGACCTGTCACATGTTGATGGCAATAACCAGTGTAAACAAGTTTTTCCTCAAAGAAATGTGGATTGTATTTATAGAGGGCATTATGCATGAACCACAAGAGGCTGATCTTTAACTTTAACGTCCTGTACTTTACACATTTGAACCAATATACAGGAGGTAGTCATGACTAATAATCTATGTAAAGCCATTGATATTTAAGAAGCAGATTGAAGAGTGTTAAAGTTCAGTTAAAGTCAATTATATTTAAATTAGGGTTGTAACTATCATTGCACTACATGTCATATTGTTAAACGACATTAATCAGAATCACAATGTTTGTTATAGCCATTGTAAGTAACAGGAAGGTAAAAACTCAAAATTTTCTTTGGCTCAAGGTGAATATAAGGCATGCATAAGTACAGCCCAGAGACTGTTAGCAGTGCGGTAAAGTGCCAGTAGTATAAGGTGAACTACTGAATGTCTAAATCCATTCTAAATTCACCGACATTTGCATAATAACAAGATTGATTTCGTGCTGAATCGGCTGGGCTGACGATGTGACATGTATTTTCTGTTTCGTTGTAGTCCTTGTGTAGCCACAGCTGCCCTGGGCCAGAGTGACGGAACTGAGACTGTACCACTGTACTGTATCACCCATGCAAAAGGATCACACCAGAAACTTTGTGATTCAAATTATAAAAGTTGTTATGAATTCATTGTTGAAACAGATTCCATTTCATGCGGGGGTACCTAACCTTCAAACCATAATAAATCCACTGTAAGTAATGAAATCTATGTAACCAGTTCCTCACTCTCAAAACAGTTTGCTTCTATTACGAATTTTCACATGTATTTTTGTCCTGTGACTCATCTTTAGATCATCTTTTACAGAGGGGCTGAGGGTCTAGCTCTCAGCCCAAAATGTCAAACAGTGACTCACAGGTCTCCTTCTTACAGATATGCAAAAGATAAAATATTTTTGCAAACTATATACTTGGACTTTTATAGAGCTTTTCTACCAGGGTTCTCGACAGGAGCCCAGACACTGTGATTTTCTGTTGTTTTGGAATTTAACCTTTTTGACATTGGCTGAGATGGCCACTTTTCTAATAATCAACAATCTCATTTTGACTGTATTTTTTCTGACCGTTAAACTACTAAAAATCTGGATGAGAACCCTGGATCTACATACTCAATGTCATGGTTTAGCAATCTTTTAAACAGAAATTTGATGGGACATCTCTGGCTCAAGAATATTGCCTTTGTTTGTTGAGGAATATCACAACCATGAGAGTCTATTTAGTTCAAAAATCAAAATGTGTTTTTGAAATCGTCTTTACACTTATGCACGTCTTGTCTGTCTGTAGAACGTGATCCCTCCAGAGGTGTCCCTGGTCTGTGTGGTCAAACCGGACGAGTTCTGGGACAAGAAGGTCACCCACTTCTGCTTCTGGAAGGAGAAGGACCGGCTGGGTTTTGAGGTGAGTCTACTGTGCTGTGCTTTGTCTGGGGCTGTAACACTTTTCGCTTATTCGAGTTTTTTATTGTGAACCACGTCCTTGTTCCAGCAGTTGTGCAGTGGTGAGAACAAGTCTACACCTAGATCACAAGATCTCTGTGTCTGACCTGGAGGAGACGCTCTTACTACAGTAGTTAATTGCATTTGAATCAAGATAGAGTTGAGTTAAAGTCGATGGTTTGTTTGTTTTTAATTAGGGCTGTGCTAAAAGTCAAGTAGGTAGTGTACTTTAAATGTATTTTATTTATAAGAGTTATAATTGGTTTGATACAATATATTAATTATAGTACTAATTATGTACAGTACTTGAGGTGGCCCTGAGAAATTACTTTGATATTTTTTTTTTTATGTATCTGGTGTTAAGCTACGCTCTTGATTGTTGCTTGGTAGTATTGCTACCAACAACAGTTGCTTTACGGCAAACCCTATGGACGTCGTCAGTGCTGGTCCTCTCTACAGTCTATGAATTCAACACAGAAATCAGGATCTTAACTTATTGAAGATGGTTATCTGACAATGAGATGCAATTTCTAACTAGGAATATTTAATGGTACCACCAGGTTTTCAAAGATCAAAATCATTCAAAATTAATAGAGTTCTAGTATCAATGATAATAACATATTTTAATTATAATGAACTTAACATTTCCAAGTAACATCAAAATGCTAGTTTTTGATATACTTTTGACACCACAACAGCGTTGATGGATTCAGCTGAAAACTCCACGGGTGTATTTGTTAATTAAAAGCTCAAAAATGCCATTTCAACATAAAAACAGTGGATCTTTATGGCCTCTCCACTATTCTAAGTGCTAAAACAGTTGTTTGCTGAGCAGCTGTGTCATCGCTCTCCACACCTCATGAGTCACACCAGTCAGGACCCCCCCCCCCCCACCTACTCTCCCCTTCAGATATCCCATTCCCCCCAGATTCACACCGCGTCCCGACCACAGCGCAGGCCGGAGGTGACAGAGCACAGACACATGTTTCCTGAAAGCAGCACACGCCCCGGCCACCAGAGAAAAGACCCATTGTGAAAACACTGCGGCACAAGACCAGCGCCGCTTCACTGACCGCTGTGCAAATCTACAAACCTCAGCTCATATCAGGGCGGAGTGGCTTTTGATTTGTGTCTCTTTTTTTTGTTTTCCTTGTGTATTTGACAGCCCTTGTCCTCAATAACATAGAAAAAAGTAAAAATAAAGGCGATGTGACTTGGACATCATTGAATTGTACGATTGTCTGTATTATAGCTTCTCCATCTTGAAACAGAAATGACAGAATTTGTAATGCTATCGCGTGACAAACGGGAAGTCACACACTAGGAATTTGCTTTGGCTCATGGTACAAACAAGTTAAAAAAACTAAAGTAAACAATAAAAGATATAAAGGCATGCATGAAAAAAAACGTAATTACGTATAGAGCTACACAAAATAGACATTTGTGTCCAGAGGTGTGAGATTATAAAGTGACAAAAGGGTTAAAGCTGCACTAACTGACTTTTTATTTTTGTATTCATTACAAAAATTAAATCCGTATCCATGCAATGCATTGAGACATACGTCCTTTTGAAGAAAAAGTAGCAAAGATTTGTGCTGGCGAGATCGAGTTTTTGTGAAACAAGGAAGAGAATGTGTTTCGGGTCCAGATTGTGACCAATCACAGCGGACCACTGGCCCCCACTTTCTTGAGAAAAGCCACAGGTCTCTTGTTAGCACAGACAGCTGAGGTAAACAAGCGGCGGAGGCTAACCTCAAGCCTTTCCAAAAGAAAGTCTTGTTCCTTCGCGCTTCCTGGTTCTATCATTCTAATCTATGGTCACGCCATCCACGTTCAAAAGTGCAATCCATATTGTGAGACGTGAGCTCCGTATACAATTAGCTAGCATGTGAGCGCAGGCTGAGGGGGAGGGGGGTAGTGGGGGGCGAAAGCTAGTCAGTTAGTGCAGCTTTAACTGACTATTGTAAAGGGCCAGGATCTAGTGATGAGTTATGAAGTGTTCCTGAGTCTAACACCAGAGGGGAAGAAACTGTTCTTATGGAGGAGGTTCTGGTCTGGATGGTCCATAGCATCGTATCTGAGGGTAATGGTTGGAATTAGGGATGCCGATACTGGACAAAAAACAATTGAAAATATGTTCAATTGTTAAAGCATTTTTCAGTTCACAATGCAGTACTGGTATTGGTTTTTTGGTATCAGTGAGCAGTGTTTCCCACAGGTTTGAAGGCAATGTGTGGTGGTCGGCGGGGGGGGGGGGGGGGGGGGGGGGGGGTGGTACAGTGGTAGAGGACAATCTTGAGGTCATGAATCCAGTGAAATTAGTCGCACACCTTTTTACAGTAATAAGTTACAGCAGATCAAAAGTGACATGTTTTGACAATTTTTAGGCTATTTTGGACCAAAATGGCTACTTTAAATCAATATTTCTACAGTAAAAGTTTCTGGTCTTTGGTACAGTGGTAGAGGGCAATCATGAGGTCGTGAATCCAGTGAAATTAGTCGCACACCTTTTTACAGTAAAAAGTTACAGTAGATCAAATGTGACATGTTTTGACCATTTTTAGGCTATTTTGGACCAAAATGGCTACTTTAAATCAATATTTCTCAATATTTCTACAGTAAAAGTGTCTGGTCTTTGGTACAGTGGTAGAGGACAATCTTGAGGTCATGAATCCAGTGAAATTAGTCGCACACCTTTTTACAGTAAAAAGTTACAGTAGATCAAAAGTGACATGTTTTGACTATTTTGGAGGTATTTTGGACCAAAATGGCTACTTTACCTCAATATTTCTCAATATTTCTACAGTAAAAGTTTCTGGTCTTTGGTACAGTGGCAGAGGGCAATAATAAGGTCATGAGTCAAGTGAAATTAGTCGCACACCTTATTCCAGTAAATAGTTACAATACTTGAAAATTGCACTAGCGGACCAAATTGTGTACTTTATACATGTAAACAATAGAGTGGCTATCCTCCTGAGGACTCACAATCTGCCGGAGGAATCGTAGGGGGCTGGTGCTATGTGTGCCGGGTGGCATCTCTATAAGGTTTTAATCACAAAAACGTGTCTCCCAGACCCCAGCGCGCTTTCTGTTCGATAAAAATGGGTGACTCCGAAAGGACGTTCCGCTGTTACCGTAAGTTCTCAACAAAACGCGCACCGTCTTTTCCCCGATGCGGGCCGCATGTTCATAGAGCTGAAAGATGCGGGCCACTTTACCGCGGTAAATTAATAGACACAGCTGCTTACAGCGATGATCGCTGATGGAGACGGAGACACGCGGTGTGCACGAAGGGGAGGGGCTGTGTGTGTGTAGGTCTCTGTATGTGGGAGAGACGCGTAGCTTGAGTGAGAGTTACGAAGGGCCGCCACATTTTAAACCCCCCTCCCCGCTGTCAAATTGACCGCTGCGGCGGCACTAGACGATGCATGTTTTAAATAGCGTAACAAAAAAAATATATATATAATAATACGAAACGCAATTTGTGGCGGGCGGTCTCTAATCTGTGGCGGTGCGCCACAGATTAGTCTATGTGTGGGAAACACTGGTGAGAACTCAAGTTAAGGTACTCGTATCGGTTTGTCTGCTGTCGTTGTGTCCTTGGGAAAGACACTTAACCCCACTTTGCCCGAAGCCCCCGCTGAAAGATCTCTGCTCCTGTGGACTCACCACCTGCAGGAGGATCAGTGAGGGTCTGGTGCTCTGTGTACTGGGTGCAGCTCTGACCCAGAAATGGATTAAGGGGAAGAAAATGGATGGATTGATGGTATCGGTGCATCCCTGGTTGGAATAGTCCATGTGCCGGTGAGAGCTCGGGTAGTGTACAAGTCTTTCATGGATTTCATGAAATTGCAAATGTCTCAGTACGTGTCAAAATGTCCCAGCGCCTCTTTGCAAATGGTTCTGTACAAGTAGCTACAGTCGGAACGAGGAGTCCTCACTAAGGGCATTATCCGTGTCACCATCTTGCTAATCTTCACAGTTGATTCAAAACATGTCAGTGTGATTTCCTTGTGTACGTCGTCATATGCACAAGACAATAGTTTGTGTCCATTCACGAAAGTATTTCTTAGGCCTCATGGATATAATCAAGTAAAACAAAGAAGGATTTCCCCACATTTCAGATGACCAATCTTACAGTCAATTACTTACTGTGAAAACCTTTTTTTCCATGACTGTATTCTGTTAAACCTCGACTATGTAGTGACATCCTCAGCCTTCTGACTCGCTGCGCTCACACAATGGCAATGGGACAATCTATTTTGAGGGCACTGACTAATTTAGGCTTGGCCCATAGTGCGAACTGTTTTGGGAAGGGATATGAGTGTCTGATGGCGATCCACGGTGTTGTAGCCAAAGCTGTTCAGAAGGTTCTTTGCCATTTTGTTGCTACTGACTCTTTATGGGAAAAGAATCTTGTTTTTAAGCATGTATGAACAGTCATGGGAAAGATGGAGGCTTTTGATCGTGATCTGTAATGGTTTGCAGAACTTTAAAGACTGTTTAGACAAATGTTCTTTTAGTTTTAAGAATGTAATTTCTGTTTTTGCCAAACCAGTGGAGAAAAACTGTAAATAAACAACCATCTCCAGAACAGTAAAAGCAATGGATTGGCGTCAGAACACATTATTTTTAACGGTTTCTTTCCCAAAAATACTTCAACTCACCAGCATTTAAGCCATTTTTGTCCAAACCAAATGGAAAAGGCATCTCTCTAGTTTGTAATGAGTCTTTGTTATTAGTTGTTGCATTTGAACCTTTGACTTGCTGAAGAGCAGTCCATCATCTGTAGTTGTGGATGTGTGAACATGCCTGAGCATAAATCTGATAAAAAGACATTTGTGATCTCACTCCCTCCGAACCCGGTAACAATTAGAACTCCCTGTTGGAGCTTGTCAAAGTTCCAGATGTCAAATTCATAAACTGTAACTACCTGGAGCGATGCACTTTTCCCTGTCAAAC